TTTTTTTTTTTTCGGGTTTTGGGTTTTGGGTTTTGGTTTTGGGATTTTGGGTTTTTGAATTTTGACTTCAATACATTTTACCCTTCAACTTTTCATCTCTTCAATTAAGTCCCTTCTTTCTTCTTCTCCCACTTTTTCATGACATTTCCTTTTTGCTTGCCAACCTAACAATCAAAGTAAAAATCGAACATATTAATGAAGATAAAAACTAAAATAAAAATTAAGAAACTGCAACGATCAGATTGATCGAACGTTGAACCTTTTTTTTTTGTTAAATCTCCATTTTGGTTCTTGAACTATTGTACGGACTCCCGATTTGGTCCTTAAACTAAAGAAATCCCTAATTTGGTCCCTAAACTATTGTACGGACCCCCGATTTGGTCCCACTGTTTATAATTTGGCCTAAGTTGGTCCTTGAACTATTGTACGGACCCTCAATTTGGTCCTTACTGTTTACAATTTCGCCCCAATTTGGTCCCTTAGCTATTATTTAACAGAATGATCAAGTTGGGGCTAAATTGGTAGATAGTAGGGACCAAATTGGAGATCCGTATAATAGTTTAGGGACTAACTCGGGGGGTCCGTACAATAGTTTAAGGACCAACTCAGGGGTCCGTACAATAGTTCAAGGACCAAATTAGGGATTTCTTTAGTTCAAGAATCAAATCCAGGGTTCGTACAATAGTTCATGGACCAAAATAGGGGTTTAACCTTTTTTTTTTAACCACAACAATGAGTTGAGCATTACGGTCAAACGACCAAGCCAAGTGAGTAGAAATGAATTATTGTTATTTTATTTATTTATTTTTTATTATTATTATTATTTTAAAAAAAACAAAGTAGAAACGGTTTTTTAACCGAGCAAGAAATGATTTTTTGACCAAGCAAGAAACGGTTTTTTAACTAAGTGAGAAATATTTTTTAAGCAAGTAGGGCATGGTTTTTTTAACCAAATAAGAAATGGTTTTTTTTAACTGAGTGAGAAACGATTTTTTTTAATCGAGTGAGAAATGGTTTTTTAACCAAGCGAGAAATGGCTTTTGAACCAAGTAAAAAATGATTTTTTAACCAAGTAGAAAGGTTTTTTAATTGAGCGAGAAATGGTTTTTGAACCGAGTAAGAAACGGTTTTTTAACTGAGTAGAAATGGTTTTTTAACCGAGTGAGTCGAGTTGCTACGGTCAAACGACCAAGGTAGTTTTAAGTGACTATGATCAAATGACTGAGCCAATTGAGTAGAAACGGTTTTTTAACCGAGTAAAAATGGTTTTTTAACCAAGTAAGTAATGGTTTTTTAACCAAGCGAGAAATGGTTTTTAAACCAAGCAAGAAACTGTTTTTTAACCGAGCGAGAAATGGTTTTTAAACCAAGTAAGAAATGATTTTTTAACAGAGCGAGAAATGGTTTTTGAACAAACCAAAAAATGGTTTTTTAACCGAGTTGAAACAAATTTTTTACCAAGTGAGTCAAGTTGCTACGGTCAAATGACCGAGCTAATTTGGAGTGGCTACGATCAAACTACTGAGCCAGTTAAGTAAGAAACGATTTTTTAACCGAGTAAGAAATGGTTTTTGAACCAAGCAAGAAATGGTTTTTTAACCGAGCGAGAAATGGTTTTTGAACCAAGCAAGGAATGATTTTTTAACCGCAATGACCGAATGAGTTGATATTGAATGGTTTAAGTAGTGGACAAAGCAATGTTTGAAAAATGTGGTGACAATGAAACAGATGTAAATGAGACAATTTTCACATATAAGATAAGGTGAAAATGAAAAGAGGTTAAGAAACTTCCCTGAACATGTTGAAAGTCCATATCCGGCAAAAGTCAAATGTGCTTTATGTTGTGCATTCATCAACCTGTGATCATCTCTATGTAGCAGCTCAGTAGATTCATATTCATGAATATTATATTGAATGCTAGAGGTAAGATCTCATTTGTTTCCCATGAGGAGATATTTGAAAATATTGCCCCAATGGATTGAACTTTGATTTGCTATTGGAACTTCAACTAGCATGGATGACTCTTTTGCTATCGAATTCAGCTTCTTTTCTCTCTGTAATTCTAATCCAACCTTGCAATTCATCAAGACATCTTGATTAGATGAGCAATTATATTAACTGAAATAGAGCCTCATGTTCAACTAGCATTCCCAATACTAAATAAAAGGTAAGGTTGGAGTAAAGTGCGAACAGAATGATTGCAAAGATTCATTAGATTCAACCAAGGTTAGGATGATCAAAAGGTCAACTTTGAATAGTGACAAAAGAAGTCTGGCCAATAATACAAGATTTTGATGCAAATGGTTACAAGATATTCAGACCATAAATCGTTGCTTTAGATCATCTTTTCTTTGCAACTCTACCCTTCAGTTCTTTAGTCCATGAGAGAGAGTCTCATTCATTTTCTAAATATTAACACTTCAAATCTTTCCCTTTTCATGAACTAACTCTCATGCTTAAAATAAGGAAGTTTCCAACTGCCACTACCTAGAGCCTTGTTGTTTCTTCTTTCTTTCTCTCTCTCTCTCTCTTTTTTTTTTATATGTCCCTTGACAAAGAAAGCTTTAAACCCTCAGATAAGGACTTTCATATGGGCTTGTAATGTGGCTTGGGGTTAGGTTACGATGAAAGAAAGGATAAAGGCTCAAAATCCATATATTCCCCTCACATCTCTCTCCTCACTTCCCTGATCATTAAGGTGGGTTAATAGAAAGAAAATCATTCTGGCTTTTGTAAATTTGAATGATTGCCTTTTTTGACTCAAAAGGGGTAAGCAAAAGGGTAATGTTCAACTGTTTAGGGTAGAGAAAAAGGGCCTTTTCATCACTGGATTTTCAACTTTCCAAGTCAAGGAAACATTTAATTTGTTAGGCCGCCCTTTCGGATTTTCAACCTAAATTTTTTTCTTTTTTTTTTTTTTTGTAATAATACATTTTGACAGCATCAACATTCACTGAGTGATGATAATTGTTTCCATCTGGATATCTGAACAAGAGTGCTCCTCCGAAGAAAGCTTCTTTAACAACATAGGGCCCTTCATAATTCGGTGCGAATTTCCCCTAAGGTCCCTTTCATTTGGCATGATCTTTCTTAAGACGAGATCTCCTTGATGAAACACTCTAGGTTTGACTTTCTTATTGTAAGCTGCTGCCATTCATCGCTGATAGCATTGACTATGACAAAGAGCTACTAATCTCTTCTCATCAAGCAAGTTGAGGTGATCTATCCTTTTCTAAATCAAGTCTTCATCCTCAATTCCTGAATCGGATAAAATTCTCATGGAAGGAATTTCTAGCTCAATTGGTAGTACTACCTCCATTCCATATACCAAGGAATAAGGGGTTGCCCTGGTTGAAGTACAAATAGAGGTTCTATAAGCATGGAGACCATATGGCAACATTTCATGCCAATCTTTGTAAGTAACTGTCATTTTAGCTAGAATTTTCTTGATATTCTTGTTGGTAGCTTCCACCACACCATTCATCTTTGGTCGGTATAAAGAAGAGTTCAAATGCTTGATCTTGAATTGATTGCATAGCATAGTCATCATGTCATTGTTCAAAATGCTTGCATTATCAATAATGATGGCCTCTGGTTGCCCATATCTGCAGATGATATCTCTTGATGAAGTGAGTGACCACCTTCTTTGTAACACTAGCATAAGATGTTGCTTCTACCCATTTGGTAAAATAATCAATAGCAACCAATATAAATTGATGGCCATTAGAAGCTTTAGGATTAATTGCCCTAATCACATCGATGCCCCACATGGAGAATGGCCAAGGAGTAGACATAATATGCAATAATGAAGGTGGAACATTAATATGATCAGCATAAATCTAAAATTTGTGACAAGCTCGTGCATATTTGATGTAATCATGTTCCATAGTCAACCAATAATACCTAGCTCGAAGAATTTTTTTACCAAGCATTCTTCCATTTGCATGTGTCCCACATATCCCTTCATGGACCTCAGTCATGACTTGTTTTGCTTCTGTCTCATCAACAAATCTTAATAAGGTTATATCAACAGAGCGCTTATACAATGTATTTCCGCTCAAGAAGTATGAAGCTGCCAATTTTTTGATTGTCTTCTTGTTCACCTCAGAAGCATGTAGAGGGTATTCCCCATTTTGCAAGAACTATTTAATATCATGAAACCATGGTTTTTCATCAACCTTGATTTCCATGCAATGTGTCGGTTCTTGACTAATTTCAATCATTAAAGGCTTGATTACATCATCATGGGAGATTTGGATCACGGAGGCTAAAGTTGCCAAAGTATCTGCGAATTGGTTCTTGGTATGGGGCATATGGTTTAAAGAGATGAATCTGAATTTCTTGATGACAGTTTCAAGGTATTGGTGATAAGGAATAAGTTTTGGATCCTTGGTTTGCCAATCACCATTTGTTTGACATATAATTAGTGCTGAATCACCATATATCTCCAAATCTCAAACATTCATATCCAAAGTAGCATGTATTCCTACAGTACAAGCTTCATATTCAACTATGTTGTTGGTACAAGCAAAATCAAGCTTTATAGCAATAGGAAAATGATCACCCTTTGGGGAAACCAACACGACTCCAAGGCCACAACCAAGCTGGTTAACAGCTTCATCGAAGAAGAGCTTCCAATTATCTGAATCAGATTCTTCCTCTACTACCAAAATTTCCTCATCAGGAAAATCCCAATCAATAGGCTCATAATCCTCTGCCGCGTGTTCGGCTAAATGATCCACAATTGCTTGCCCTTTGATGGTCTTTTGTGTTGTGTAAACAATATCAAATTCAAAAAGCAGCATATGCCACCGAGAGATCCTTCCAGAAAGGGTAGGTTTTTCAAAAATGAATTTTATGGGATCCATTCTTGAAAGTAAGTAAGTGGTGTTGGTTAACATGTAGTGGCGAAGTTTCTTGGATGTCCAAGCTAAGGCACAGCAAGTTGTTTCTAAGGGTGAGTATTTACTTTCACAATCATTGAACTTCTTGCTCAGATAATAGATGACTCTTTCTTTCTTGCCTAAGTCATCATGTTGGACAAGGACTGCTCCCATGGATTCTTCAAGGACAGTGATATATAGGATGAAAGGCCTTTTATCAGTTGGTGGCACAAGGATTGGTGGGTTTTTTAGGTGTTCTTTGATTTTGTCAAAGGCTTGTTGGCATTGGTCATTCCCGGTATGAGGGTTGTCTTTTCTGAGGAGTTTGAAAATAGGCTCACAAATGGTGGTGAGGTTGGCAATGAAACAAGCAATATAATTAATTCTTCCCAAGAAACCTCAAACTTCCTTTTGGGTTTTTAGTGGTGATATTTCATCAATGGCTTTTATTTTGGCTGGATCAATCTCTATTCCACGGTGACTCACAATGAAGCCAAGTAGCTTTCCGGAATCCACATCAAAAGTACATTTGGCAGGATTGAGTCTCAGTTGGTAATTTTTTAAGGCGTTCAAACACCTTCTTGAGATTTTCTGTATGTAGCACCCCTTCTTTGGACATAATCACCATGTCATCAACATATAGCTCAACAATGGTATACACAAAGTGATGTAATAAAACAATCACAGAGCGTTGGTATGTTGCCTCGGCATTTTTGAGTCCAAAAGGCATAACTTTGTAGCAAAAGGTACCTCATTGAGTGATGAATGTTGTCTTGAGCTTGTCCTCCTCCTTCATTTTTATCTGATTATACCCAGAGTAGCCATCAACAAAAGAAAATCGAGCATTTTTGGCGGCATTATCTAGCAGAATTTGGATGTGAGGTAATGGGAAATCATCCTTGGGGCTTGCTTTGTTCAAGTCTCTATAATCCACACAGACTCTAACTCGACCATCCTTTTTCATTACAGGAACAATATTGGCCACCCATCCCGAATACATAACTACTTCAATGAAATTGACATCTAGTAGCTTTTGCACTTCTTCTTTGACCTTCAACAGAACCTCTGGCTTCATCCTTCTTAGCTTTGCTTGACTGGCTTGGCCTCAGAATAGAGTGGAATGGCATGAACAGCAATATCAGGATCAAGTCCCGGCATGTCCTTATAGGACCAAAAAACATCTTGCAATTCAAATAAGAGTTCTATCAACTTTTTTCTCTCCTTTGTGGATAGGTGGGCATTGATTTTTATCTCTTTTTTGTCATCTTCAGTACCCAGATTAATATCTCAGTCTCTTGATTTAACTGCAGCTTTGGTTTTTCTTTTCTTAGCATTTGAGTTAGTTCATAAGAAGGATCAAAATTTTCATTGTCTTATTCACTATAGGTCTGATCATCAATCTCATATATAGTCTGATATGGCATCATTGTTTAAAGATTCATCATTACCACGCCTGAAAATTATGGATGGAAGTAAAAAAATGACTAAATCATAATAAAGCAAAGATAAGAACATGTTACTGGACAACCTCATAAAACATATCATTAAAGAGTGGCTTGTACAATGAAAGTTCAAGTAAAGTTGCATCACGATGATTTTTACAATGATAGGATAGGATTGCAACATGTTTCATTGAAAAGGAAAGCATAGGAATACTAGAGGCATGATAACATAAATTTCAAAAAATATAAAAGTGCTTGTTAAATTCCTCCCTTCATGTAGTCACAAGCATAACTACTAGACGCTGACTCTTCTTACTCAGAAATGAAAGCTACAGGGAGAATCTACGCTATCCAATTAGCCTGAGAGCTTCCATTAACCAGAGAAATTCCCTTATCAAATTCAAGTTCCTCCTCATCTAGAGCATTTACAGTCAAATTTCCCCACGAGTCATATAACAATTCTTCTTTCACTGTTTCAAGTAGCACAGACTCATGTGATCCCATTGGAGCTTTCGCATGATGAACAAGATGGAAGTTGGGGTGCTTCTCCATAAATGCGCTTTCAACGAGCATCCTTCTCCACTTTTCCTTAGGATCTATCATGTTGGCTGGCCCAAAGAGGTTGTTAAAACCAAAACTGTCTTCCTCATTATCAGAACAAACTTGATCAGTGATATCTTCCACAACTACTTCCTCAAACTTTGCTTGTTTTGAACATTCCCCAATTTCAAGCAATCTATCAGTGAAAATAATACCCTCTGGATCTACATATAAAACATCCATATGCTTCACCACACATCCATCAAGAGAAGGGTACAAAATTTTAGCAGGTCATGGAAATGTGACTCTGATGTGCGACACCCACATTGGTTCATCCCTTGGATCTTTCCCTTGAAGTTTAGCAAGGCGCTTCTCTGCTTTAATAGCATGCATTCTCTGCCAATCTTCCTTCTTCGGCTTATACCCCAAGCCAAAACTGCCCCAAGCTTCAATTACCTGAATAGGCTCGAGAATTCCTTGTCCATTCAATCCCAAACCCTCTCCCAATTGGTAATGACATGCAAGCATGATCTTAGTAGCAACCCTAGCAAGTTTAGCCATTTCAGCCCATTTCCCTCTGAACTTTGGATGTATATAAGAAGCAGCAGCACACTCCATTGAGTGATAAGAGGATTCATAAGTTCCAAGATCAATTCCCAAGTAAGGAATGGTTGTAGCCTTTCAGATGACGTGTTCTTCCTCGCCATTCACCGTGACAAGAACACCATTGACAATGTATTTGACTTTCTGATGCAAGGTGGATGGTACTGCTCCGATAACATGCATCCAAGGCCTCCCAAGAAGCATATTAAAAGCAGGAGAAATGTCCATAACAAAGAAATCCACATCAAAAGTGACAGGGCCAATTTCCACTAGAAGCTCAATCTTTCCAACCACGTTCCTCTTTGTTCTGTCAAAAGCACGAACCACTGTATTGCACTGATTAATGTGAGACTCATCCACTTTCAACTGCTTCAAAACAGTCATAGGAATCACATTCAAAGCCGACCCATTGTCGATCAACACATGAGGCACATTCATCATCTTACATTGGGCCGAAATATGGAGAGCTTTAGTATGTCCATTTCCTTCATTGGGAATCTCATCATCTGTGAAATTAATATAATTTGGAGCCAAGATTGCCCCAACCACAATTCCAAACTTCTAAGTATCAATGTTCTTAGGCTTTGAGCAATGCGTCAAGATGAACCTCAAATGACAACATCAATTCTAAAATAGAAATTTTTGTAGGGGTTTTGTTGAGCTGTTCAATGATGCTATACTCACTCTTTCTCAAAATATTCAGAAATTCTGCAACTTCATTTTCTGACACTAACTTCTTGGGTGATTCTTCTGGCATCTCTTCAATTCCGATATCTTTTGATTTCAAGGAAGCCCTTCTCGATTCTCCCACTTCAGGACTCACATAGCACCGACCACTGCGGTTCATATTAGACACATCATTGGCTATGGAATTCAAGATGGTAGAGCATTGAGGCATAACCACAAATGATGTCTTTCCCACAAGTGACTCACTAAGAGAGGTCTTCAAGACATAAGGCTAACTAATGACTTATGCTTTTGTAGTATCTTGCAAAAATGTAAGGCTTCTCCTTAGTGAAGTATTCTTCGGTCACTGGTGCTATGAATTTCTCTACCTCTTGGGTAGATGTAAACCTCAAAACTCCCATTCTTTGCAACTCTTTAATCTTTCTCTGAAAATCTTTGCAATCTCACAAAGCATGCCCCTTCATATTGGAATGGTAAGGACATGTCACAGCATCATCAATCATCATTGGCAGAACATTCAAGCTTCTTTGTGCAATCGGCTGAATTATATCATACTCTATCAAAACGACAAATAATTCATTAAGAGACCATGATCCAGCATTCTCCAATACGGGTCTATCAACTTCATCAAGGGCAATTATATTCATGGTGGGTGCACCATGTGGAGGTAAAGGATTCTGAGTGATGTTTGGAACACTCTTAGTTTCATCAAGTTGGAGTTTTCCTTCATCGATGAGATCTTGAATTTTTATGTTTCAAAGTTGTACAATATTTAGTACCATGACCTGTTACATTATGATATTCACATTTAGCTTGTGGATCATACCCGTAAGGATAAGGTGGTTGCACAGGGTTCGCTTGCACTGTCTGCATCAAACCCACTGCCACTAACTGTTTCAGCACTTCACTATAAGGGATTGGAAGCTTGGTGAACTGTCTCGACCTATTTGTCAAGGGAAATTGTTGTCTAATTGGAGCATGAGCATTGAAGTTTGGCCTCCTTTGAGGGTAGGTGGTAGACTCGAAGATCGGAGTGTGCTATAATTGAGGCTGCCAATTGTAAGGAACATTTTCCATATTATAGATTGGCTTGGCATGACTAGTGAAAATGTGATTCAAAGCTTCCCCATTTTCTTTCTTCCCTTTAGGTGAGAACCTCTTCGAAGTAGATCCCGAGCTTCCCATCTTAACTTACTCTAACTACCTCTGGATAGTTTGAAAGTCCATAATCATACCTGCCTTTAGTCCCTCCTCAATCTGTTCACCCACTATCACTAGTTGAGCAAAAGGATATCCGACACAAGGAGCTGGCCATGCACAGAAGGTCCCGGTAGTTGACTTGATAAAAAGAGAGCAGATTTCACTGTTGGTAAGAGGTGGAATGACTTTGGCTGCTTCAGATCTCCACCTTTGAGCAAATTCTTTGAAAGTCTCATTACTCTTCTTGGTAATTTTCTGCAAGCCATCTCTTGTAGGGGCCAAATTCATATTATACTCATATTGCTTCATTAAAGCTTGAGACACATCTTTGAAAGTGTGAATATTCTTCTTGTCAAGTGTTGAAAACCAAACACTTGTTGGACCTGAGAGATTGTCTTGAAAATAATGAATGAACACCCTCTCATCATTGGCATAAGGAGCCATCTTCCTAGCATACATTTGCAGGTGGACATAAGGACAACCTGAACCATCATACTTGTCAAAATCTGGCTGCTTGAACTTGAAATTTGTCTGAATTCCCGGATAAGAGCATAGATCATCCAAATCAATGGAACCATAGGCTTGTGGCCCTTGCATAGCCTTCAAAGCTTCTTCTAATTGTTGCAGCTTCTAATCGACCTCTCTTGACTTCCCATCTTTTAAAGCAGGCCTTAGCATCACAATCGAGGGGTTGGGTTGAATAGCTGGCACTTGTCCCATCAAGGGTGGTATGCTAAGGGTAAGAGGTGAGGTTATGGGCAAGGTAGGGTTATTTATCTCAAATGGTGGGTATGAGGCTTCAAAGGGCAAAGATGATATTTGTGGAGCATGTGAAGATGACTCCCCTACTAAAGGTTGATTCTCATAAATAGGTGGAAATTGCAATTGTGTGACTATGGGATCCTTAGCATGATTACTTGGTGTGATGGTAGGGACAGGTGGGACTAGTATTGTGAGTATTAAAGATGCAGGTGAAGGAACCGAACCAGTAGTCAAAGTGGACAAAGTGAGACTGATGGTCTGAAGAGTAGCAGCCATAGTTTGCACTGTAGCTTCCAACTTATCAACCCTCTCATCAACGACTGATTTTTCTAGATTAGTAGCAGCATTTTCCTCAGACATTTTGATAACTCTAGATCTGAGCAAATACGGAGAACGCCGCTTTTTGAAGAACTTTCGCCTTGGAGCTATGATTAGAAGACCTTTTACCTACAACAGAAACATAAAGACAAAAAGAAAAAATTAGAAAACTAAAGAGACTTTAGCCCTTTTTTATTGGATCATGAGTTTCCCCTTTGAAGTTCCATATGAATTCCCACATCGGCATTTCCATCTTGTACGAAGATATCCACTCGTTTACAATGAGTTGTGCTAAAACATGACTTTTCATTACTAGATAACCGCACTTTAAACAAAGTTAGCAAATAATACAAAGTTGCATTCAAAGTGCTTACAAGTCTTCATTACAGAACATAAATCCTAATACAGCCTTTTAAGCACATTGGACATGTCAATGATAAAGTCGAAGACTGGTTGGAAAAATCCCCTCTCAATCAGATGGGTCCTTTGAGCAATGTGATGATGAGTCTCGGCCATCTTTCCCTCAAATTGAGTCACCAAAGCAGTCACGTTGATGACAACTTCATGCAAGCCGGTGTCCTCTTTAACAAGAACTTGGTTCTTTTGCTTCTTAACTTGGAGTTGATAACACATGTCCTCCATGGCAATCTTTTAAAGATCACAGTTGATGGTCATGTCTTGTAGTTGCTCTTCCAATTGCTCATTGGCTTTGCGAAGGTGTTCATTGTCCTTAGTCAATTGGTGCAAATAAGAGATGGTTTCTTCATTAAGCCTTTGAGTACGGGCAAAAAGCTCCAACAAAGCCTTGTGTGCAGAAGGTTGTGTGTAAGAATCCATATTTCTTTTCAAAGGTCACGGATGGTTCAATCAAAAAGGCTTGAGAACTAAACACAAAGTGGCAAAAATAAAGATATTAATAAGAGAATAATCAAAGATCGTAGCTAATGACATGTATAATAAAATGCAAATGTGATACGAGGCTTGAGAATTAAAATTTCTGTCCTAATCATGGATTTTACTTCATCGGATATTGTTTTGACAGGGAAGAAAGATTGCATTCATTCAAGCAAGTTTTCATCGACAAATCTGAATTTCTGATGTTTGTACAATAGCTCCCAAGCAACCCATCTTTCCCCAAGCTCCTCAAGTTGTGCTTTCCTTCTCCCCTTGCTTTGACCGCTTTGCCGTTCATAATTCTTTTTGTAGAGCATCATAATCAGACAATAAATTGTTGTAAGCATTCCTCCACTTTATCATTTTTCCTTCTTGCTGTTTAATCACTTTCTCCACAAGCTCTTTTTTCTCCTTTTCTTTTGCCTTAAGATCCGCCTTTACTCGTAGCAACTTTTTTCGTTGTTCTTTGGCAAACTCCAAGCTCCTCTTTTGCTTCCCACAAATTTCCTTGCTAGTAGCCAAATCCCTTTTCTAAAGAGGCAATCTTGTCTTTCAATCCTACCACTTGTTGATCGGACAACTCCTTCCCTCTTTTAAGCAATTCATGATTAAGAGCTAACTCATCATACTTTTCTAGCAACTGACATCTTTGAGCATGGCTAGGTTTCAACTTAGTGGTTAAGTACATGATGATGGAGTTTTTTGTATTTGTCACCTCCCATGGCAAAGAAAGCTTAGCTATCCAACTCGATCTCCATTGCTCATATTGAGGTCTAGTCCCATTCTCTTTCCATATAGGTAGCATCCTACATTTCTCCCACACCTCATGCGCTTTAGATACAATTGCTGGGGAAGACATGTAATCAAAGTGTGACTGTAATGTGTCATCAAGATAGAGAATGCTTTGTGCTTTTCCAAACTGACAAGATGCCAACTCCATTGAATATGTAACCCCTCCATGAATACCCAACAAAGGAATAGAGTGATGTCCCTCGAGTGTAGCAAGATATTGAGTAGCATTCCAAGTCGGGAGAACAAATCCGACATCATTAACAATTGCTGCTAGAAGTGATCGATGCCAATTCTCCGTCTTTCTATCTTTCACAGGAATGCTGAATAAAGCTTCAAATTGAGGACCCTTCAAGTGACCATGTGCCCATGCAGTGAACAAATCAATGCAACTCGAGAAGCGGCTGGATCTTTTAGCCCGAATTTCTTTCATAGCCCACAAAGTTCTAGTTACCACTATAGAAGCAGGATTAAATGCCGAAGTGTGCAACAATTGCTCAAAAAAGCTACCAACATAGGTGCAATGGTCTTGACATAGATAGGGAAGATCACCATGCCATAAATTCCTAATGCCACAAAGTTAATCTTTTGAGACAATGTCATGCCTTCCAATCTCTTTCCCGAAGCCATTAATGTTGCATTCCAATCAAACCCATAAGAATCATCTCTAGTTGTCACTAATGGTCATGAGAATTAAAATGGAAACCTCCACATAGCTTGCAACATTTCTTGAACTTTTTCTAGTGTGAACTTCAAATGTTGTGCTTGAGGAGTGAAGGTAAAAGAATCCACCGTAGGACTACACCGCAGGAAGTGATGATACTCATCAATGGTGGGTACCAACTCAAACTGTGGGAACACAAAAGCTTGATATTGAGGGACATAGAATTTCAACATAGCTCGAAACAAGTTCCAATCCGACACCACTGATAATAGATCCCCGATGCACCAAAATTGGACCTCAAAGTCATGCTTCTCTCTAGAGGACAACAAGCCATATGCCTCTTTCAGCAACTTCAAGTCAGGTTTGGAGGTATCGACTGAAAAGACTAACTCCTTAGCCTTGTTAGCAGTAGAATGAGATGTGACATCTTCCCCAAGTCTTTTCCGTTGTCTAGTTGTATCCTTAGTAAAATCGATGTTTAATGCATGATCTTACCTAAACACATGGCTTAAAAGAGTTAAACATAAATCATACTCTCACATGCCATACCTTATTAAGTGTGCAAAAATAAGCTGCCATATGCGCAAACGAAGATTAATGAAGTAAAATGCCCCTTTTGTACCTTAAACACATGACGCCTAGCCTCATAGGTGGGATGCTAAGGGAAACATGTCTAGGGTTGGTATCTCTTTAAGGCCAATACATGTTTTCCTAAAAGGCATTAGGCCTTCTCAACCATTTATCCTTTTGGAATCAATGGGAGATTTTTTCAAAAGCTAATACATAGAATAATATTACATCATCAAGTGTCGTATTAACCAATGGAAACAACCTAACAGGAACCGATCTTACTCCTCAAAACGTGAAGAATTGCTCTTCCAAGCCAGATTTATAAGGATTTCATATTAGAGGTCAGGTTCACCTCCGACACGGACCTAATAAAAGATGAGAGTGAGTGTGTGCAAAGGGCATGACACTCCAATAACCTGCACAATGGCAACCATAAAAAATAGCAACCTATATCCTACAGTAAGCAGATAAAGCAAACAAACAAATAAAACATGTAAAGCACTCAACAAATATATCGCCCACAAACAAAACTTACTTACATAGCAGGAAGGGACTCACCTCGTACTCCCATGCCAAAATCAAAAAGTTAGTACATCCACATACAAGCAAGTAAGCATGTAAGCATGATGCATGATGAATAAGCATGTTATATCAATGATGGATGAGCATGTGAAATGATATGATGCATGAACATATAAGCAAGGTATGATGCATGTCAAGATGTAGCAAGGTAACTACTCAAAGACAAAAGATCAAAGCAACAACTAAAACAATGAGCAAACAAGCAACAAGTAACACGCGACAAGCATACACATTAAATAAAAAGGACCCACAAAGACTCAACAAACAAAGAAAAATCAAAAGTTGAAAATTCCCCAAAGTTAGTATTAGCTCGACCCTCGTGAACCAAGAATATGGAAACCAGAGATTTTGGGTTTGGTCCCTAATGGAGTCGCCAATCTGTTGACGACCACTTAAGATTTTTCAAAATAATGAAAAATTAAGTGTAAAATATAAAAGAAAAAGGAGTCGCCACTCGTCCAAATTATAAGGTGGGACCAGTCACCTAAAACGGGTCTGTACAAAGATCGAGGTTCGGGGGTTCGGTTAGAAGTGAGGAAAGGCATACACGCACCTCATAGTCCTCCGTTTAAACACGGTTGCATACTTTAACATTGGGGGGTTTAATTTAACTTACTCATTATGTTTACATTTGGGTCTTAATAAAACAAACTTGAAAAAGAGATAAACCAAATTGCGACATTTTTAACCTTTTGGACTAAAATGGACGAAATCAAAGACATGCATGCACAATGAACACAAGTAAAAATTAAAGGGACTAGTTTGATTAAATTTGATACAAGGAGGACTGATTTGATAAAACTCAAAACATAAAAGACTAATTTGAAAAGAGTTGATACCTATGGACTAAATTGCTTAATCATAAAACTTTTGAGTGAAATTGAAATGAAGAAAGATAATTTTGACTTTTTGACCAAAATGAGAGGAAATTAATTAATTAAATGATTAATTTGACACTAATTAAAATTATTTAACCATATTTATCAACTTTTAATCAAAATCATTAAATATATCTAATAATCTCAAATCAAAGTCAATAAACATAATTAATTTATTCAAATTAAAATTAATTAATTTTATTAATCATAAATTAAACTAATTAACCTAATTAATTACTAATCATGGTTTTACATATATATATTTTTTGTTTTAACTTTTTAACCCCTTCTTTTTTAGTTTGGTTTTTTTTTATTTACCATACTGGGTCGGGTTGACCCAATCCAGAAACATGATCCGAACCCAATCCAGTAACATGATCTGAATACGAAATGCGACCCCCTGAAGATAAAAAAAAATGCAAACACGCAAGAAGATTAGGGTTTATCCGATTTCAAACAAAATTTCTGCAGAAAGCATGCATTCGATTTCAGATCCATGAAATTCAAAAAAAAAAAAAACAAAAAACAAAAAACAAAAGAAACATGCTTGATTTCATTCACAATGTCATCCTCAAGTACAAATTCAGCACATCAAACACAAAGATTCCAAAACAACCATGGCGAAAATTCTGGGAGAAAACCGATCAGAATCGGAGGGATGGACCCCACCCCCGGAATCAAACTCCAACCGTTTCCTTCACTACTCTTCCCAAAACTTCCTCTGATCAGAAAATTTTACCTAAAAGAAATAAACCCAGAAGAAATACAGCCTCTGAACCTCATGATTCTTCCCCTTCAGCCGTTGTTGAACCCCCCCTTCTTCTCCTCGAAATCTCACTCTACAGCTCTTGAAAACCCA